GGTAAAGCCAGGCAGAGCAGCTGCTTCTGAGGGCTGTGGATAACATAGAGAACGTTATACTTACATCCTGTACCTTTTGTCTCCGGGCACTGATCATTTCAGGAGCTTTCTGTGCAGAAATAGCTGAATAAATTCGGAGCTTGGTCCTCTTTGTTGTTGAATTTACAATGTTATTTGAATGTAAGACCTTGCTAGATACGACATTTGAAAGTTAGGGCTCTGGAATGACACTGCCTGGCTTCAGATCCTGGCTCCTTCATTTTTTTGCTGAATGACAACAAACAAGAGGCTTAGGCTCTGTGCCTCAGTTTCGTCGTCATAGTCAATTCTGGTATTGGCAGCAGTTATGTTGAATAAAGGCACCCAGTACATGGATTTGGCAAATACTGTTCCTTGGAAACCACAGCTCCTAGGGAAGATACAGGGTTAGGTTCCTGTGAGCCTCTTGATCACATTTTTATCAACAGATCGATACACATTACTTTGTTTTTGACTAGTTGTAGAGACTATATGGCCCACAAGTCCTAAAATATTTACTGTCTGGCCCTTTACAGAATATATCTGCTGATCTCCAGTCTAGAGTGTTACTGATGGGTTTCTGACAACAGAAATACCTGGCTGAGATGGTCCAACATACCAGGAAACCCATTCTCTCCTATGGGAAAGTCATATTCTCTGATAGCATCTTTGGGGTCACCTGAAACCTAGTGTCCATTGAAGGCACAGCTCTGGGAACTGCATAACTGTTCTGTGGAGTGTTAGGGCAGGTAAAGCCAGGCAGAGCAGCTGCTTCTGAGGGCTGTGGATAACATAGAGAACGTTATACTTACATCCTGTACCTTTTGTCTCCGGGCACTGATCATTTCAGGAGCTTTCTGTGCAGAAATAGCTGAATAAATTCGGAGCTTGGTCCTCTTTGTTGTTGAATTTACAATGTTATTTGAATGTAAGACCTTGCTAGATACGACATTTGAAAGTTAGGGCTCTGGAATGACACTGCCTGGCTTCAGATCCTGGCTCCTTCATTTTTTTGCTGAATGACAACAAACAAGAGGCTTAGGCTCTGTGCCTCAGTTTCGTCGTCATAGTCAATTCTGGTATTGGCAGCAGTTATGTTGAATAAAGGCACCCAGTACATGGATTTGGCAAATACTGTTCCTTGGAAACCACAGCTCCTAGGGAAGATACAGGGTTAGGTTCCTGTGAGCCTCTTGATCACATTTTTATCAACAGATCGATACACATTACTTTGTTTTTGTGTGTGTGTTTCTATTTAAAGATGTCTTATTTAGGCCGGACACAGTGGTTTATGCCTGTAATCCCAGCACTTTGGGAGGCCGAGGCGGGTGGATCACCTGAGGTCAGGAGTTCGAGACCAGCCTGGCCAACATGGTGGAACCCCATCTCCACTAAAAATACAAAAATTAGCTGGACGTGGTGGCACGTGCCTACAGTCCCAGATACTGGGGAGGCTGAGGCAGGAGAATCACTTGAACCCCGGAGATGGAGGCTACAGAGAGCCAAGATCGTGCCATTGTACTGCAG